GAATAATCATTTTTAACATTAGCATCCAACTCCCTGGACTTTGAAGTCAGTTTATCACAGTATTAGCAAAATATCGTTTTAAAAGTTTTCAAGTATCATTTCAGACTTTATATTAACAGGGTTCTTATCAGTCTAAACACGTGACCTCAACATAACAAAATTTGCATAGAAGTTAGAATTTTGCCAATACTTTTTTTGGCATGCAAATTTACGTTTTTGTTGTATATTTTGTGTAAAAGACACATTAAATTGAAAGTTTTATTAGATTTGTGTGTTTATTACCTCCTGTGTTCGTTATGTCTAGCTAAAATTGCCAATCATTTCCTTTCTTAGGAAATATGATAAATTATGGGCAATTGCCAATACTTTTTTTACCCACTGTATATCAGACCACCTTTGAAAGCAATTCAGTTTTGTTTAACTTCTACGACAATTTGTCCCATAATTTTATATTATGTAAGGCAACAATTCAATTCGTTTGCAAGGTATTTTGTGTTAACTTACCTATTATTATGATTTAAATCTTTATTATAACTTCTCCTTTCCTTAGTCCTCACCGGAATAAAAATTAGTTGTTTTGTGTATTTAAGCTGAAGGTCAGACTGTTTGGATTAGAGCTTCTGCAGCTGCGTCTTGCTGTAATGTACTCACTATTGATACCTAAGTTGTGTTTCGACTTTAGCGTCTTGGTAACAGACGTTTCAAATTATGCACAGTTGAACTTTAAGAATATTATTTGGTTTTGTAGTTTCAGACTACATTATCTGCATTTAAACTTAGCGTTACTTCATGTAAGTTAATTATCTGTAAGAAGCAGAAGTTCATCTGTTGCACAAGCCATGCTTTTCAGTTTATTTAAGCCTTAAACAAAAAAATTATTTTTTATTTATTTTAGACTTTGTGATTTATTTAAGACTAGCGATAGCTTTTAGTATGCATGGCTTTGACACAAGCTTCTAGATACAGTAGAATACTACAGGTTTCAGAAACTAGCTATTAGAACTCGTGGCTTAGCTTTTAAAAGGGTTAATTGTACACTTGCAGTACATCCAGAAAATTATAAATTAGCAATTGCAGTAACATGGAATTGCAGTACATCCAGAAAATTATAAATTAGCAATTGCAGTAACATGGAATTGCAGTACATCCAGAAAATTATAAAATAGCCTGCAGACATAAAAGTACGCAGCAAATTAAGTGAAAAAGCACTTATAAGACTAAGCTAAAGGCATGACAACAATATCCATCAGATTAATTCCACAAATACTTCCCGTCTTCCCGTATTCTAAAAATTTCTAGAATGTTTAAAAACATTTTATATTTTATCAGTACTTTACTATGATAAATATAAAAAGGTAACTATGAAAAACATGTCTCTTAAATCTTTCCTCATCTTTATTCTTTCATAATACATTTACAAGCTAAAACAAGAAAGAGACCTAACATAAGACCTAACAAGAAAAACGAAAATAATAAACTCAAACCAAATTTGTTACATGTTTTACAAAAAAACTATATATACAGAAAATAGTTGGAACACACACAATCACAATCACACGAAAATTCATAATTCAAGTTTTCTTCCATTTATTTCCCTAATAATTTTTCTCTGCCACTCTCTTAAGTTTTGTGTAATTTTTAAAATCGATTTCCAGGTCGAACTGATCTGATGATTCTGCGGAAAACTTAGTTGCTTGACAGATCTCGATGAAGTGGATGTTATCGCACTTATCATATACACACTTTACAGTATTCATTTTCTTGAAGTTCTGAATAAATGGGCCGGAAATAATTTGGAATAAAATAACTATAAATAAATGGGCGGGTGTCTTCCGTAGCCAGTAATAAAGTGATAAACTTCAATACTATATATTATTATCTTTTGATCAATATCTAAGCTTCTTTTGTAACCATTGTTATCTTCGGATAATACCCAGCGTTCTTTCTAGTGTTCAATTATTTTTTTGTCTTGTTAACGCAATAATTATTCTTTTAGAATATAATACGTCCAGGTCATGATTTGTATCACTCAGGGCAGCTTCGTTTGTAAGTGCGTCCGCTCTTTCACTTCCAGCAAACCCCACGTGGGCCTTTATTCAATGCAAATAAAGTCTGTGATTATCGCTTACGTATTTTAAATCATTTTTAGTCTGTTCAGTCAAAGTATTATCTCTATAAGGACTGAAAGGACGCTTGTACAGCAGACATAGCATTCGAGTATAACTTGTCTATAATACTTCGAGTATAACTTGTCTATAATTATAATATTTGAGTATAACTTGTCTATAATTCTATACGAATAACTTGTCTATAAATCAGATTTTATTTTAACCATTTCAAAGCATAAAATATGGCTCTTAATTCGGCTTAAAAAACAGCATTAAATCCATCTAATGTAAATTTCCTATTTTTGGTCTCAGTCCCATGAAAGTATGCCCCGAAATTGGTTTCTTACTTGACACATGAAACAAATTCCGAGAAAGGAAGACGGTCATTATTAGGAGAAATCTTAAGGCTGCCTTTTCTGCCCAATCCATTTGTTATCTCATTACCACAAACTTCCACAGGTGAAGGCATCAATTGAAAAACTATTTTATTTGGGCCCACAAGCCAATCAAATGCTGGGCAATATTCAAAGTAATTCTTTCTCCATATTTCCACCTCTCAGCCAAGTGCTGCGTAGAACTCCTGCTATGATTCAGAATCCAGATGTAAGTATTGACGCAATAAATTAAGGTCTCCACTATAGCAATGAGTTCTGCTCCAAAAATAGAGCAGCTTCTCGTGGAAGTCTTAATTCTCCTGCATGATAAGTATTTCGCTACCCGAGATACCGCCGTAACCCCTGCTACCATTAGTATAAATCTATAACAAATCACCACGGATTTTTTTAGTACCCTCTAAAGCCAGCTGTTTAAGGTAATCAAGATGCTGCGTGCCTTTGTTAGTATAAGAGCAAAGTTCGGTTCTAAAAGAAACCCTATCACTAAATGCCACAGCAAACTCCGAACAACAGGCTATAGAGACATATTCAGCATCACGTTGCAGCCCTCCCTCACTTTCAGCCCGGCTGAGCGGGCTTTCTCTTTTAAGATGACGATTTGTGTTATAATTACGTACATATCTACGTAAAAGTTCTGTGCTAATCATCATAACTGCTGAACTTAGCAAAGTTTTTGGTCAAGAGATACCTACTTGGAGGGGTTAAAGATCGGCCTCATACAGGATAATGTCTATCGGGCAGCAATTGCGGAGACCAGTAATGGTTCTGGTAGCCGAGAGTTGTACCCATTCCAGTTTATCTATGTTGCTGATAGAAGCGGCCTGATAAACTTGAGCACTGCATTCCGGGACAAGCCTAATAAGTGCAATGTATGGGTTTCTCCGGATTAGAACATTTGAACCCCAGTCTCTACCAGATGTATATTTTAAATGTTTGAGTCTCTGTTTATTTCATAAAACCAAATTGTCAACATGAGCCCGGATGAGGACCTCCTGATCCAAAATATACCCCAAGTATTTTGGATGTTTTTCACAATTCAATCTCTAACCTAGTATAAAAATGTTCGATGCCAGATTGTAGAGATGTATATTGGTGGTAAAAGTATTGAAAACAGACTTTTAGGGGATTGAAAACGATTTTGTGTTTCGTAGCAAAATTTTCAAGATCTAGGAGGGATGAGTTAATATCTACCTGAGCAGATGTGAGACCTAAATTGCTACTCCAGGCGATTATATTAAAGAGTCTGTGGTTATTCTTTGGTAGCATATACCCTGATTTCTATGTCAAAGACTAAGTAGTGAATTCTCACTATGCCTGTGAGAGTAAATATTGCAGAAGAAAGGTTTAAATAACCTTTTTACTTAAACTACATTAAAACAGATGCACGCCCTTCGTGCTTACAAATCACCACCATTTGTGGCTACGTAACAGAAAGTAAGAATGTAACAATCACTAGTAAATTAAGAATCGTAATGTCTGGTTCTTTATCTTGAACTAACGCTAAATCGGCTGCACACAGCAAAGCTGAGCCCAGGAATATCAGCATAAACTGAAAGGTGTCAAACACCAAACCAGAGGGCTAGCTTTAAACTCGCAGCATAAACATCGGAATTAAGGCCGCTACTACTCTTTTGAACTCTTGACGCACAGCTTAAATACTGCTTCTGAAACACGTTTAAATTTACATGCTACGTCATAACAAAATTTACATTCCGGCAGGAACTGAAATCAGGTAGCACAGTAAAGTCAAAATAACTGGTTAGAATAAAATATATATACCAACATACAAACTCATACAGTAACTGGCATTAATAATAGCCGCATATGCAAACATTAAAGGGGAGAACAGTGTGGAGAAAAGCACAGATTCATGGGGTATACCCTAGCTTAGCCTGAGTCTTCCAGAAACGTTGTCCCTATACTTCGCTCTAATGACTCTTAGAAAGTCAGCAATATAGGGTATGATCTTCTGCTGATATAAAATTTCTGCACAGTTTACGAAGAAATTTGTTTTTCCAAACCCTGTCGCGTAAGCCTCAAATACATCAAGAAACAACTATAATTATTTCCTTAATTTTCTACATCAGAGTACTATGACATTAATGGGCGTCGAAGACTTTAGCTATATTTATTTTGTGAGTGATATCGACATCTGCGATATTTCTTGGCTATTAAGAAGCCTAATTTCGGCTTTCTCGTTGAGATACTTCAAGCTCTTTGCTGCCTTGCATTATTAATTGCGTTGAATTATCAATCTTCCAATTCTTGCCAACAAATCTCCTCCATGCCGTATCTGGCAACAGTAAAATTGTTTTGATATAATGCATTACTGCAAATCTGGAAAAATACACGGTTTAAATAACACATATTGTCAGATGCTAGCAAACTAAACTGCTAGAAAAGGCTCTTTCCTATTCCACTATTTCATGCATATATAATAGGTTTTTAGTTTAGGTAAATGGTTTTCTGCCTCATGCATTTTCATTGTATTTTACAGAAAGAGGGTACTCGGCAGTGCCAAAAGAATTGGGTATGTGCAGAGATAATATACGACCGCTATGATACGCTACCTATGAAACGCCTCGAACAAAGAAGGTAAGCATTTATTAAAACTTGTAATTTAGTAATTTTCGCATTTTGTTAGTTTTTAGAAATTTATTAAGTTTCATGAAAGTCACTTTCTGAGTTTAGTTAATCAATTTCGAAACTATCAAGCATTTATGTTTTAGATATTTTAGATACTGCACATGATTGCATCAGTTTTCTAATCTTTGTATCTTCCAAAATCTCTGTCAACTGAATTTATCTTATTATGTAACGAGTTAACACTAAAAGCTGATATTCTGAAATCGCTACGAACATAAGTTGCTTTATCGAAATCGAATTTGATGTTTTTAAAAGTTGAGTGATGGAGAAATATAGGATGTGGAAGTTTTGATAGCGTAATCATAAAATTATGCGCTAAATGAGCATATAATGTTTATCATACTATATTTGAAACAATAGTTACAAAAAATAGGGACTTCATTTAACAGTCGAGCTCTGAATATGCTGCTGTTAATGTCCACACATTTTTCACTCTGAATTCCATTTCGACAGTGGCAACAGTTGTTGGCTAAAATAGACCGGCTTTGAAGTCTCTTCACTATCTTCCCTTCTCGCCATGCGTGAATGAAGACTGCGAGGCATGTCTGGTGACGTTTTCAAAGCTGATTCGGCACCATCAATTTCATTATCAGATCCTCGTACTTCTTCGTATAATTTCTTATTTTCACTGCTAGGATGAAGAAGCATTCCTAATTTCAGATTTGAATTCAATGTTAAATTCTGTATGCCATACTCACAAGATCGACTAAATAGCGCATTTTGTTGAAAAATAGCTAGGCATTTTTCATTCCTACCAAGTCCTGGTAGTATTCTGCAAATATGACTAGTTACTTCTACGATGTTCCAAGATTTCATTTCCTTCGACGTGCTCTTCTACGACGAACTCAAGAATGTATTTTGTGACTGGTGTTATGTAGGTTTCTTGTGACTAAATACTTAATGACTCTGAATAAATATGTTTCACAGATGAAGATATTGTGATTTCTTTTTTGGATTGTGAGTTCTTTTTTGAAATATGGATAAGTCAACATTTAGCTTTTATGTAATTTTAGGTTATTAAGGCAAACCAGAATTAAATCTTAATAGTTTCTTTTATTCAGGTTATTGCGGTCACAGCGCAGAAAAATATTTAAAATAGATGTCTCCAAATAATTCATTAACATTGATACCGAGACTTAGATTTCCAGTATTTTTAATAATCTCTTCTTTTCGGCTTATTGCGAGGATTAAATTTTACAAAAGCTGCTTATCAAATAACGTCTTCATTGCATCACATGTTTTTATTTTTGGCAATAAAACTATTCATTATTCTTTCTCAATATAGGGGCAAGACGCGTTTCGAAAACTGTTCATCGGTGGAATAATAATAAGAAAGCTTATAACTTTAGTTATTTATTACATTTCTTACCTGTATATGTTGAAAAATCTTCAAAAAATGAGTGCCAATGCAGAATTTAAAAATTAAAAAATATAATTTATAATAAAATTAAAAGAACAAATGAATATGCATTATTTACCTGCATGCAACATAGCTGTTTATAATTGAAAATATATGTTATTTACCCTAAGAAGAATATAAAATTTCTCAGTTAGATATGTTATAAATTAAATGCATATAAAGTATAAAAAATTACATATTGTATTAAAAATGTGAAATACATATTTAAGTTGTAAAATACTATCGTAATTGCTTGTAAATCGTTTAATTTTTTATCGTAATAGACTAATTAGATTTTATAATTAGATTTTAAAATAAATTTAGGACTTTAAGACTTAACGAATGACAATGCATCGACAACTGGTTCCGTGCGAGGTTAATAAATGATAAATTAAAGTTAATTTCAATTAAAAAAAAATGAGAGCACACATTTCAGTTTTCTCTACTATTTCGGTAAACGGGCTCGGAAATGGTGAATATTTTTATTGAAAATAAAGGATAATATTAGAATTAAAAATAGCATAAAGATATCATAACATATAGTATTCATCCAAGATCACTATATATATCTGTTATTGAAGCTGTTTAATGCACACGAAGTTTACAGATACATTTTGACAATACTGGGAGAAACATAAAACACAGCGCACAGAAGTCGACATCACTACATTTTAAAATCAAAACTTACAAAGAAAAGAGTCATTGAAACTTAAGTTACGATAGCTCAGGGAAGAAAATTTTCGCGATACCTTTCACCTTTTGAGATCTAATTATTTATAACTAAACAATATTCGAAGTCCCTGTTCATTCGCTGCCCTTTTTTCAAGGGTCGTCCAAGTAGTGATCATCAAATGACAACCTAATCATTTTCCAGACGTTCAGCATCACATGGAGCATTCGTGGAAGAGATGAAACTACAATCACTGTTCCCTATATCGGGATCATTCTTCTTTAAAACTTTGTCATTGTCTTTAACTTCTAGTGGATATAATTTCTGGAAGTTCAAAATCACTTGGAGCATTCGAGGAAGAAGTTGAACTGCAGTCACTCGTCCCTATATCAGGATTATTCATCTTTAACACTTTATGATCGTCTTTACCTTATAACGGATATAATTCCTGAACAGGTCATTTTTTGACCTTCAAGATAATTTGAAATACTGGTTCCTATATCGGGGTTATTCTTCTTTAAGACTTTATCATTGTCTTTAGCTTCTAACGGATATAAATTCTGGGATGGGTTGTAAATAAGCCCCAGTTTAGTCTTGCTTTCTGACACGTGCGCTTTTCCGTCTTCCCCCGAATATATTTTAAACACTTCTGCTAAATAACAGTAGTTTCCTTTTTGTGTTACCTCTCCAGAGGAACGGGGTCGGTTTCTATAAATTGTATTCTTTTGCGGTTAAATATATTCTCTCAAAATTCCCTTCTAAATCTTGTTCTGATGTATTCTCTAATTCTTTATCGATACACATAACGCTTATTAATCTTACTAGATTCGGTTGTATCACAACCTGGAACTCCAGCTTATTTTACTTCTTGTATGAACATTATAGGAATCAATAACATAAGATCATTGCTACATCTGACGTATAGGTCAACTGTTTATTATTCCTGATATTTTCAGCATCGCGGAGTACTGTGTACAGTTCTTCATAAGCTTCATATCCTAAAATACGCCTAGCATGTTATTAACATGCCTATTAGACCTTCCCCAAAGCGAATGAACGGAATAGGACGGCGAATAAGCAGAGAAATACGGGACACCGTCGCTCCATACGAGAACCAAGCAGGAAAGAAAAATAACATCCCATTAAGATGAAAAAAGAAGCAAACGAAAAGAAATTCCCCAGTTCTAATACAGACAGTTCCGGCGTAGAAAAAAGGTAAAGACAGTGCAGTCAAAATCTATCTAGACGCTAACTCTCTACAATAAAATAAAAGTTCAATTTATACAAGTAGGAGGGTATATTTCAAGTGGAATCAATAGCACTCCTGGAAGCAATAAAATACGGCATCACCTACCTATCTACCTGAAAACACTATATATCACCACAGACAGCCTTTTAGCGATGCACGCTATCGCAAACCCATAATCAGATTTGATCATAAGGTCAGATAACATAAGCAGATCAAAGGTAATCCCAGAGATTATAGAAATTACTTGAAGATAACCAAATCAACATTTATTTGTCCCATGGCTGAAAGCACATGACTGAAGGGACAAAAGGCAGCGAGGAGGCTGATATTCTAGACAAAGAAGCAGCTAGGGTCAAAATGCCCAAACGTTATCAGTGCCATGGTCCGGCTCTTCCATAAAAAAACTCATAACCAGCGACTCTAAAGCTCTAAAGCTGAATGGCAAAACAGGTAGCGCAACCTGGAAGAGGACATACCAACTGTCCTCAAAATTAAACATTGCACTCAGTTCAGTAATAAGAAAAATTATGTGATTCATGTCGGGCATAGTCCTTTTCCCACGTATTTTTATGTAAAGTGCTAAGCTACATCAAATGAGAGTGTATGTGGAGAAAAAGGCAAAGAGGCGGCCCCGAACACTATTCATTTAAATGTTCCCTCACAACTGAATATCCTCTAAAACTTTCGAACACAGTAAGTGAAATAATTCCTTTTATAAAATATGCTGTTCAGCACAAAACAGCGCAAAAAGGAATTCATAAATATAATGAACTTCATGTCCACAAGAGGCACGAAGCTATGAAACGCAGCAACGCTTGGCGGGGCCAATTTTCAGCCCTGTGAAGAGTAGTTATCTGGATGAGTGAAGTGTAGTTATCTAAGTGCGATTGGACAATACCCACATTGCTTACTTTTAAATGATGAGTATCCACCACGCTTCACCATATCTCTATATGAAGACATTCGACAAAAAAAATCTGTTTTTCTCTGCAACAATAAGTATACTAAAATTTTCTTCCTTTCTGAATTTACAGTTTTTTTCTTTTGACATCAGTTCGAAATTAGGTTGTTCTTCTGTTAAATATTTTATCCAAATAGTGCTTTTCTATCATTTTTCGATAACTAAGATTTCCACTGAAGTTCCTGGAGGTGAAAGATCGGCCGGAGTTTGTATTCCTGATACATAGTTTCATTGGCCAGTTGATTTCAAACTTCTAATTTTTGTCACCCTGTTAAAAATAAACACGCCCAGCCATCCTTTATCTTAATTCAGAAGATAGTATCCATCGATATAAAACCAAAAAACAGTTTTTATGTTGTATATTTTCAATTCATTTCTAAGTGTTTGCCAATCACAAGCAATATATTCTAACCAGGGGGTATAGTTGCTTTTCTAAGATGAGATACCTTTGATCTAGCTTGTACTAGTTGACAAGCGACTGAATTTTTTGCTTTCACACTCAAAAACGTAGACGTAGCATATGACGAGTAGCATGCTTTACAAGATACAAGTATTGATAAAGTTTTCGTATCGCAGATCTAGTTCACATCGAGTCCTTGATTTTTCATGCTAGTTCCTCTTTCTCAGGTCTTTGATCTAAATAGTGTGTTAGTACAGCAGCTAGAAGAAA